AAGATTTTATTTATTTATTTGACAGAGAGAGACACAGCGAGAGAGGGAACACAAGCAGGGGGAGTGGGAGAGGGAGAAGCAGGGACCCTGGGATCATGACCTGAGCCGAAGGCAGACGCTTAACGACTGAGCCACCCAGGCGCCCTGACGTCCTATTTATGAAATAAAAGCATCTAAATGACTACTGGATACAAGTCCACTGCTCTAGATGGGGAAGAGCTCAAACAGCAACAAAAACATTAAAACGGACACACTTTATTGGCAAGGCTGAAGTTCATGGAAATCCAGGCAGCTCTATACTTTGTTCTCCTGTGGCTCTTGTCACAGGCTTCCTTTGGGAACACTAAGTTTATCAATGTTACGTTACTCAAGTATTTGTATTTTACTATAAATGCTTTCTATGTACTACATGCAATCTTATCCTTTAGTGAAATTCTAAACAATCTGTTTAAATTCCTATAGTTTCACAAATGAACCCAGGGCTTTTGATGGTTTTCTTAGATAAGATTTTCTCTGCTTCCCTGTCCGTGAAGTCTTTTTGGTGTAGGAGCTAACTGATGCTCTCAAGATGCAAAAAAGATGGGTAAAAAAGAAGAGGTCACCATTCTCTCTCCACAGTAGTAATACCATCCAACATTTCTATGCACCTTAAAGTTTACAAATAGTTCTAAGGACTAGATGCCAGTCCTCAGTTATCCTTGCTTTGGAGATGAGAAAGTTGAGACAGAGAGGTTACAAGTCAGGACGTGAACTGACATACAACTCAAAGTACAGCTTTCCTCTATTAAACCACTCTCTAAGAGATCATTATCTTAGTAATAAAAAAGATCTTGTAGCAGTCCTGGCCTATAAAAACATTCTGTTATGAAGATTACGTATGAGCACATGAGTATGTTACATCATTAAGTAAATAAATGCAGGGGTGCCTGAGTGGCTCAGTCAATGAAGCGTCTGCCTTTGGTTCAGGTCATGACCTTGGGGTCCTGGAATCGAGCCCCGCATCGGACTCCCTGCTCAGTGGAGAGCCTGCTTCTTCCTCTGCCCCGCCTCCCCCTGCTCATGCTCTGTCTCTCTCTTAAATAAAGTCTTTTAAAAAAATAAATAAATGCATATAAATTCAAACCCACAAAATGTACAACACCCAGAGTGAACCCTAAAATAAATTATGGACTCTGGGTGACAAAGAAGCATCACTGTAAGTTCACTGACTAGAACAAATGCAGTGCTCTGGTGCTGGGGGTTGTGGTTGGGGAGACTGCACACATGAGGTGGCAGGGATGAGATGGAAAATCTCTGTACCTTCTGCTCAATTTTGTAGGGAACCTAAAATTGCTCTAAAAAATAGTCTATACAAAATGCATATAAAAACTGTAGGGGCGCCTGGGTGGCTCAGTTGGTTAAGCAACTGCCTTCAGCTCAGGTCATGATCCTGGAGTCCCGGGATCGAGTCCCGCATCGGGCTCCCT